TAGTAAAAGTCCCAACATCATGCAGATCTTTGAATGGACCTGGTTTATCCTAACCATTGGGATAGGAAATCTTCTTCTCCTCCTCCTCCTCCTCCTCCTCCTCCTCCTCCTCCTCCTCCTCCTCCTCCTCCTCCTCCTCCTCCTCCTCCTCCTCCTCCTCCTCCTCCTCAATACTCCACTCCATATAGGAAAGAGGAAATTGTTAAGAGTATGAGGACCTAATTTTATTTAATTAAAAAGGGCAGAATCCCATCACCTTATTGAATTGTACTCTTTTTCCATTCCATCATTCTTGCCTATTTAAATTCATAAGAGTCTTTTCTTTTTCTGGGGGGGGGGGGGAATAGAATCTTGAATCCAGATTGAATTTCAGAGAGTAATTAAACTGGGCATTTTCAAAGCACAGCTGAAATTCATTGCTATAACCAAGTTAAAGATGTTGAGTCATCCTTAAAGGATCAATCTGCAGTTAAATAAATTAAGTCTTCACAGCACACACACATCACCACAAACCTAACCCTTTAAACTGACCCAGTGTATCATAGAAGCCGCCATAAATCACTTACATCTTGCTTCATTCCTGTTTTAATTGCTCATTACAACAATGACCAAACATTCACATGGCTCACTTACATTTATTAGATGTGACAGATGGCTGTGTCTGGATTCCTAATTCATCATCTCAGATTTCCTTTCTGATGGGGCTGTGTAATCACTTGGCAAATAAACTGAAATTGTACTCTGGGCTTAACAGCTTACAAAAGGTAGGGCAGAATGGTCCAGCGGATAATACTCTGAAGCAGCACGGAGGATGAGACATTTGTAACGTGAGTGGCATGAGGCAAGAGCCTTTCAGAAAGGAAGAACAGGGACGGCATGATTCTCTCTACAAGTGACAACTCTGCCCTCGGTTTGGAGGATTGAAATACAATTGTTAGTTCATTCACACGCACACACAATCATGTGTTTGTGTATGTGTGTATTTCCTTAACTAACTGGAAAAGTGATAAACTGTTTTCCCACATTTTGGGCTTCTTGAGCAGATGAGTCCATGTATGGAAACTGATTAATGCTTAATCAGTTAATTAATTATTAGTTTTGTATTAAAATTAATACTTTTTAATGTAATAAATTTTAAGTACTTGAATACTCTTTAATGCTAAGCAATGAAATAGTCTTATGAGGTGGGCTGAGCAAGTCATGCAATGCCATTTGCTCTGTTAGCCAGTGCCTCACCACCACGCCCTGCCTTCTTCTCAAAATTTGCCATCAGAAATTGCCATTTCACTTTTCCTGACAGCAAGGAATGTACACAGGCTGAAACTTCATATGGCTTCAGACGCAATTCTTCTAACTAAAGATAACCTATGCGTGCAACAGTGAGGTGTCGTGTAGCAAGACATCTAGCAATATACAGGAATGCACAAACTGGTCCTTCTTGCCCTTTGATTTTCTATTCTCCTGGGGTATGTTGAGTAATTCTCTGCAATCTTTTGCTTATGCAAAGCAAAAAAAAAATAGATTAACCTGACAATTTGCTCCTTATTTATGTCACAAGTATCCTTTGTGAAACTGGTTGATTACCCTGAGGGTATAAATAGCCTGTTTTTATTAATTGTACTTTAAAAGCAAATTCAGTTGACTCCAGTTTGCCCATACATTACAAAAATTATACCAGATTGCTTTCTGATTAAAAACGCCATCGTTACCTTAAAGTATTCACACATGTGACATCATAAAGCATATAATTGAGTTAAGATACCAACGCTGTAGCAAGTAGTGGAACAATTATTAATGATCACACTGAGAATAAGTCTTTTAAATTTTATCCACAACTCTGTTCATTCACTTGCTCAGTGCCATTAATGGTGAAAGTGAATGTTCCTAATGAGTGGAATGATGTTCTGTATAAGGCCTTCACTTATCATTATTCCCTTCGAGTGTGAGTCTTCAATCTGTTTTCATGGGGCCCTCCTGCCCAGCTATACAATTCATAGGCAAAGACAATAGTTTGTGAAAAGCAACTCCACAGCTGATGGTTTTCTAAGTGAGCATGAGGCTATTCACTTGCACATAATGACCCAAAGAGAGGAAAAGGAAAAAAGGCTTTCTGTTCCTCTGCATTTGTCTTCTACAGGACAGTTGTCTTGGCATTTGTCCTGACAATAAAGTCCTATTTGAGGTTTCTTGTTCTTGTTTTTGTTAAGTGAAGGTCACCTAGACAACCGCAAGGGGAATGAAACTGCAAGCCATTGGTAGGTGATTATTTCATCAAAGGGGTGTCAGCCATTTTTAACTGTGGCAAATCCTTTTATAATGTTGATACAGGGTTTTAGTTTTGATTTTTTTTTCCCCCATGATTGGAAATTGGCTGAATGAGATGTCCATGCTCATAGGCAGTGGATTAATAAACATTGCAAGAAAACTGGGAATCAGTGTAGCTCATATAACTGAAGTTGTTGTATGGGTGAACCTAAGGGCACGCATCACTGCACATACTGCCACATTTTGGACCAGTTGTAATTTCCGGGAGGTCTTCAAGGGCAGACCCATGATGGAATTAGTGCTGGCTAGTAGTGATAGATCGGGGGGGGGGGAATAGGAGGGTCTGATGTAGCTAGCTTTTCTATGTATTAATATCTTGTTTTTTCTTTTCTATATGACCATGAGGTTTTTTTCTTCCATCTACAGCACCTCAGAATTACTTCATGACTTTATGTCACCACTTTCTCTACCACACACTGAAAACCATCTCTTCTTTCCAAGGCAGAAGCCGGCTAGCTTGAGATTGGTAGCAGCTGCTTTTTGGGGGGAAGAGCAAGTGTTAATAACAGGGGAGCCACCTCAACATTTCACCATTCTTCTGGGAACTCTGGGCCTAATGGCACACCCAGATCTTGAGTGGCTTCTGGGAAGTCAAAATGGATAAAGTTCAGGCTGGAGAATGTTCCATAAAGCAGGTGTCACAGCAGAAAAGCCCTGCTCCCTAGGACCTGCCAAGAATTCTCCCTTGTTGATGGGACCTGCGGTATGCCCTCTCTGCTGGATTTGGTGGGGCGGGCAGATATAATCAGGGAACTATGCCCATCTCTGAGTTTCTGACTTCAGCAGCTTCCCACAGCTGTGAGATCTCTCTTGGTCATTGGACTGCTACCATTTGATTGCAAGAGCTCAGAGAATTTCCAGTTGATCCCAGATCAGATCTAGTGTTTTCTATGGGTGGCCTGTCTCTTGCATCTCATAGAAAGCAGGTTGATATGGTATGAATTCTTATACTTTATACTGACCTTACATAAAATTCCCTGAATATAATATATGGTAATATCATGGCCTGTCAAGAGAGAGTCCAGAAACATATTTCTTAATATGCTATCATGGTGACAGAAACTTTCCCACTCTAATCTATAGAGAAACTAATCTAGTTTATTTTAATTTATGGTTCTGTTGGGGATGAAAAGGTGGTAAAGCAAAATCATGCTTTTTAAACATGCATTGAACTGATTTGGTTGAGAGATAGGTGCCTTGTTTTTAGATCATAGCAGGGCTACACCAATGCATTTTGTTGTCTCTGATGATGGATAAGATAGGTACATTTGGACTGCATTTGGAATTAATTTTTTTGTCAACACTAATAATAGGACTGAGTCTTCCATTGCATCTAGAGAGAGGGGGGGGGGCATAGCCCACTAGTTTAGGAGGCAGAGATTTGGTTGTGGTGCATTTTATACCTCTGTCCTCCATCTCACTGACTCAGTAGTCAGCATCTATTTCCCTGAGGCAACTGCTTCACTCTGCCTGCCCAAACTCTGAATGTTATTGTATATACTTGAATATAAGCCCATCCGCAGAAAAGCCAACCTTCAAATTTTCAACCAAAATATTATGAAAATTGCACCACCGGTGAATATATATAATTTTCACAGTTGGTTTATCTGTGTGTGGTGCAATCTTTAAAGTATTTTGATTTAAATTTTGAGGGTTTGCTTATCTGTTGATGGACTTATAGATGCACATATACGGGATATAAAAGTATTTTAAGAAAGTATTGCAGTATGTTTTTCAAATATGCCCACCAACAGATAAGCCAAATCCAATTTGGGAGGTGTAGTTTGGCAACTAAAATTTGTTGTTGTTGTTAATTGCGAAGTCGTGTTCGACCCATTGCGACCCCATAGACAACATTCCTCCAGGTCTTCCTGTCCTCTACCATCTTCTGGAGTCCATTTAAGTTCTCGCCTACTGCTTCAGTGACTCCATCCAGCCATCTCATTCTCTGTCGTCCCATTCTTCTATTGCCCTCAATCTTTCCCAGCATTAGGCCCTTCTCCAGTGAATCCTTCCTTCTCATTAGGTGGCCAAAGTATTTGAGTTTCAACTTCAAGATCTGGCCTTCTAAAGAGCAGTCGGGGTTGATCTCTTCTAGGACTGATCGGTTTGAATGCCTTGCAACACCATAGTTCAAAGGCCTCAATTCTTTGTTGCTCAGCCTTTCTTATGGTCCAAATTTCACATCCATACATTGCAACTGGGAAAACTATGGCCTTGACTATACACACTTTTGTTGGCAGGATGATGTCTCTGCTTTTTAGTATGCTGTCTAGGTTTGCCATAGCTTTCCTCCCCAGGAGCAAGCATCTTTTAATTTCTTGGCTGCAGTCCCCATCTGAGGTGATCTTGGAGCCCAGGAAAATAAAATCTGTCACTACCTCCATTTCTTCCCCATCTATTTAGTATGTATAGTACATAGTATATATGTATAGTATATATCAGAATATTTTAAAATGTATATTATCAAGGAATTTGGAACTGTAATCAAGTGGAGCTTAGCTAAAATTAAAAACTGTTTTTCCAGGTTTGAAATTAAAGTATTCCATACTTATTGTTTGAAATAACCTTACCTTTTTTCCGTTTCATCTGTCAGACAAGTTTACATATCCTTAAGTACTTTCTTCTTCAATCTTTCCTAAGCCACAGAGTTCAGAAAATCCTTTCATAGCTCCCTTTGTCGTACCTCTACAGTTGCTATGAACACCAAAGTTATTTTCGTTTTTCCATTTAATAGCTTGATCTAGGAGCTGGAGAAGTTAAACAAAGCATGGAATGAAATATAAGTTTTATAAAAGAAATTCTAGGGGGTGAAGGAAAGTGACAGTACTTTAGTAACCTTGGTTGATCTCAAAAAAGCTAAGCAGATTGGCTCTAGACAATATTTGTATGGAAGACTACTAGAAGATACTAAAGTGTAGGCTAAACTGAGGAGTTTGTTTTAAAAAAATCCTAAAAGAAAGTGATGGCACACTGCTCCTGTACTGTTGCCAAGAAATCAAGCTTAACTTGAGAGATCCTTCTTTATTTTTTTTAAAAAAAGTATTTGGCTATGCAGTTCACAATATACTCCTGTCTTTTAATTTTTAAATGCCAGGTTGCAAAACCTGGCATCCCCAATGATGAAATCCAAATAAGGATCATGAAAGAAAAGGAACAGCCAAATATATCATACAATGATTAGTGTAAATCATTATTTTGAATCAGGCGATTTGTGGATAAAGGAAACAGAATATTTTAAGGATACATGGTGACGTAGAAAGACTGCTGTTGCTACTTAAAAAAAATCCTAACACTGGGCTTCTAACATATTCAATATATTCAAGAACTTTTATTTTTATGTTTCGTCTATTATCATTGGCTTCCGTGTTGGCAAAGCCTTCCTTCCTCTTCTTTGTGCAACTTGATGCATGGTTGCACCATGTTTGTCATGTAAACTCTCTCTAGCTTTGTAATGCTTTCATTTGCAGGAAGTTGCTTGTTATTTAAATAGGAGGAGAACTCAAGCAAAATCAACCTATCCTCCTTCTTAAGTTATTACTATCAGTCTTCTACTCCCCTTGTTTTGAGCAACACCAATTTATCCAGTAGAAGAGAGATCTCTAGCTCAGGGTTGAACAGCGGAGTCCTTTGTGCTCTCTGAGCTTGCTGCTAGTGAATGTGGAGTTTGCTCTGTTTATATAGAGCAGGGGTCTTCAAACTTGGCTTTTTATGACTTGTGGACTTCAATTCCCAGAATTCCTCAGCCAACGTGCCTGGCTGAGGAATTCTGGGAGTTGAAGTCCATAAGTCATAAAAGGGCCAAGTTTGAAGACCCTGATATAGAGTAACTTGCCCTGTCAGGAAAGCAAGAGTATGTGTGTGGTTTTATTTTTGGCAGTTCCAAGGGAAAAAAACTACATCCCCACCAACGCTGGCAGGACAAGCTCTTGTATATAAACAGACCCCCACACTCCTCCAGCACTGTTGGTGTTACCTAGTTGGAAAATGAAATGTCTACTCCACTATGATTTATTGTTACAGTGAGAAAGAATACTAACAGTACCATTTGTCACCTAAGAGACTTAAGTTAAAAGCTTGTTTTAGTAAAGAGAAAGGCAAGAGACTGGAAGGTGGTGATAGGAAATTCCTGCTTCAGTACTTGTGCTCAACAAGAATAGGATTACTTTATTGGAGAACTAGAACTGAAGAAGCAAGAGAAATTCAAGACCTCTTGTGTTTGCCTGGAGTAATATGGAGTTGTAATCTTGTCAAACAAGAGGCTCATTCTGCTTCCATGAATATGACTTAAAGGCTTCTGTTTTAAGATCATGACCTTAACTCATTGCTATCAAAGAATATCAGGACTCACCACAAGTAGTGCAGAGTTCCACTGAATTGATGTAATTTTACATTTAAATTGCTTTTTAACTTCAACACAGATAAAAGCAGGTATGTTTCTCAAAGATTCAGGTGAGTCCATAAATGTGCAGTTTTGAATACATTCAGCTGTGAATGGGAGTCCAGTACAATCTGTGAAAGTTGACCACCAACTTTCATCCACAGAGTCTCCCACAGCGCACATTGTAGGTTGTTGGCAATGAGAACCAAACTTTCTTGTAGCTGCTGGTCACAATAGGAGTATTCCATTTCTGAGAAAAAAGTTATTTTACTCTTCAGTCTGTTCGGTGTAGTGGTTAAGGCATCAAGCTAGAAACCAAAAGACTGTGAGTTCTAGTCCCGCTTGTATACCGAGCCAGCTGGGTGGCCTTGAGCCAGTCACACCTCTCAGCTCTAGGTTGGAGGCAATGGCAAAACACTTCTGAAAAACCTTGCCAACAGAAGTATAGACATTTGTCCAAGCAATGTCAGAGAATCGGACATAATTAAATAGAAGGGAAAAAAACCTCCCCGGGCAGCTCAACTATCGATATATGAGGGTACCAACATGATTCCTTATTAATATTTCACATCATAATTCTGCAAAAAATGTTGCTTAGGATAATCAAATTCCAGCTTATTTTCAGATTCTGTTTATAGTCACCATTGATAATTGTGGGAGGCACGGATCTTTACATCCAATTAGGGTTGGCATTAGATCAAAATTAATGTAACTCCTAGTTTCTGCTACAAATGTGAAGAATCCAGGCACCTAACCACAACAGATGGCTAGAAGGGATTTTTTTTGGGGGGGAGAGGTACAAAGATTAGATACCATAACCAAAGTTTATACACTGAAGTTTTAGGGCTCATCTTTCTTCCCTTCCTCCTGGTAACTTCCTGGACAAGTCCCTGCAGTTTTCTTGGCAAGATTTCAGAAGTTATTTGCTTTTACCTGCTTCCTAGGGCTGAGAGGGAAGGATTGGTCCAAGGTCACCGAGCTTGCTTTATGCTTAAGGTGGGACTAGTCTCCTGGTTTCCTCTCTTCTGCTTAACCACTACAGCAAACAATTTACTTCCTGGTTTATTTTGTCATTTTATTTATTTGTGAGCCATTTATGGGCAGGAATATATTACTGGTGACAGGGGAAATGAGAATTCTCACATTAATAACATGAGAATTGTGAGTATTAATAAATAACAATAATATAAACACTGGATGCTTGTTTTCCCGTTCAGAAATTCCATCTCACGGAATGAAGGTAATTCTCTCCTATTTTAGAGAGCGCTCTGGTGTGTTTAAAAGAACATGTGATGTTGGCGTTCCAGGCAAAGCCTTACATTTGTGACACCTTCTTAATGTAATCTCTCCTCCTATTTGAAGAAAAGAATAGAGAAAACAAGGCTGTTACACCTATAAGCTCCTAATAATGGAGAGGCTGATAAGACTCGCTCTAATCACTCTGAAAGTATATTTAGCCAAACATGCATACAGAAGCAGTTTCCGATTTTTGCACTGAATGCATGACAATTCCCAACATAGTCCAGGCTCATAGGCATGAAGGTGGAGGAGAATTACATCTGTATCCAGGCAGATACTTCCACAAGGCTAGAGTTGATTCTGAAAGTAGTTTTTTATGGTTGTTTTTCCCATTTTCATTCTGCCATGCAACATGTTAATATATTTCTCTGCAAATATAATCACTTGTTTTCTTCTGAGAGAGGTGAGAAAGAGACTGCTTAAAATTTCACTCAGATGCTTGGCTAATTGATTACGTGTGTTAGTTTTTTATTTCAACATAGCAAACAGCTCTCCTGAGAACTGGGCTCATATTCCTAGATGGAGAGTAACAATCTGTCCCTCTATCTTTCTCTCTTTCTTTTTCCAGTTTGACCAACAATGCTTGCTGTGGATTCATTTTTATAAATAGTGCAGGCAGCATAAAGAAAAAAGAACGTTCCTTCCATAGGAATTTGATTTAAAGAATTGTTTTGTGTCTTGATTTGATATTTTTTTTTTTTGCTTAACAATAATATTAAGAAAGTGTATTTGGATTTTGAACCCTTCAAAATGAAACTTTTGCTTGTCATATAATCAAAGGTAGGTTATAATAATTACTAAATAAAACTTAAGCATTCAGCATTTTGAAAGCATAATTCAAAATGTCCCTAATGTATTTTCCATTCCCTTAGGCCTGATCATTGTTCTAGGCTGACCTAATTACTTGAAGCTAATGAAGAGAAATAGGGGGGAAACATGGCTTAGGAAGGTTTATTCAGAAACCAAAATTACTACAAACAGTCCTGAATTCCAATTCTGCATAACATTAGATTACCAGAAAAAGGATTTCTGTGGAAGAGAATATAAATTAAACTTACCAGGAAAATTAGTTTTACATAAGTTTCATTGACTAAGCCATTGCATCCAGTACTGAGGAGAGAGGCACTTCTTGCAAATAAAGATCTGTTAATAAAGCATAATAGATGAGTCCCTTTTTATGCAGCTGAAAAAGCTTGGCAAAAGTATAAATAAGTGAAAGAATCCCTGTGTACCAATAAAATATTTGAAATGTGCCCCACAAGATATGCTGAATCGTAGGTTCTCATTTTGGCTAGTTCGTGTTGGATACAGTACTCACATCCAGTGGACTATGTGTTATTTCATCCATGAAATGCTGGTGTTTGTTTTCTGCTGAATGCCTGCTGATCAGTAGCAAGATACTATCTCCGGGTTAGCCATTCACAAGCAAGAAGATGTGAATAGTATGATTTAAATGGCCAAAAGGTTCATTTAGATTCTTAAGCAGATTGGCTCAACCCACCAACTGGCATATTCCCCATTTTGCCATCTAGACAGGATATGCCTCCTGTTGCAATCTATTTTCCATTTCAGCGTCTGTCACTTTTGGTCTGCTATGTGCCTTTATATTCAAATGCCGCAGTGCTAGCAGAACATGTTGATTTTGATTATAGCAGTTGGCTTCAAACATGTGTATGTCAGTAACAAATTGGATGAGTGGCACCATGAAAGAACAGGAACCTAAGTACTGTTTATTTGGGTTGGCAGCATTTGCCCTGTGGTTTGCCAGATCACAACTCTGCAATATGAATTAGTTAATTACTTGTCTGGAATCATAATTGGATTGGAGGATCTCTCTCCTGAGATGGAGCTAGATTTGTGAATGTCTGAATATAGCCACACAATGTCTGTATGTAGCAAAATACATGCATTTGTTTCCTTGACCTGAGATAGCGCAGCTATCTGAAATGTTTGCGAACAGTGGGATTTAGGGGCACACAGGATGATAGCAGAGGAGAGTACAGACATGAGTAGATCACGATGAAATATTTTTGGCACACAGTTATTTAAAAAGACACACACAGTGACTTCCTACCATTTAATAAATTGAACAGAACCTTAGAATTAGAATAATTTACAAACAGAAAATTATTTGTACTATATATATAGATTACCAAAGCTCCTGATGCATGGGGAGACTTTTGCCTTGTTTATATTCTTGTGTGTTTGTTTGTTTAATTTTTCATTCATTCACATTTCTATATTTCCCATCATACTTAGGTGACTCCCCCATTCTGCCACCATTTTACATCTGGTTCTGACATGTTCTCTCTCATCCTTCTATTTTGTACCTGGCTTTACTTTTTACATTGCAATCACTGTTTTGTATCTGGTTTCAAGATTTGGTTAAAAAAAAAAAATGCAAGGAGATCCCACAAGCTTGAATCTTGCCCTATCAAACCCATCCACAATGTTTGCATACTCAAATAGGATCCACAAACTAGCTAGCTAACTAATATTTTTGAAAGAATTGGTGTAGAATTTGCAGTATATATTCTGACATTTTAAATAGGAGGGAGAGCACAGTCTTTGGAGAAGGGGTCCAATACTTTTATTTATATTTATTATTTCTTTTATTAATCTAATTGATATGGCTATCCAAGAAACTCTGGGCAGCAAACAACAAAAGCAGAGGATTACATGAAAACAAAAACCAACTAGAACTGCATCAAGACACAATATAAACATAACTGGACATTTGTACCCATGTCAGAGCCCCCAAATTAATATTCTGCCTTGAATGGGCAGTGCCGGAATGCAGAAGACATGGTTCTAGGGATCTGCTAGATGACATTGCTTTATTGATGATACCTGGAGCTTGCCCACTCTGCCAGGCCTGGTAGAAAACCCAGAGGAAAGGTGCCTGACTTCAAATCTACTTTCCTAACAATCCATAAATTAAACAAAATATCAACATATACTGTTAATAGCTGGGAATTAGACAAGGACCCAAAGAGTAGTTTGCCATGTCATGTGAATCAGCATCATAGACGTAAGATAGGCATTAATGTTTTTTTCAAGTGTAAAGTGCTTGGCAATTCCTCCAAACACAAGCTTGTTGGGGGAAGTCAAGTTTATTTCTGAAAGCAAGTAATCTGGAGTGGGAACAGTAAATAATTTTCACTAGTAGGCTCCATTTGTGCCAAGACATGAGCTATGCGCCACCATCCTGCCCTTATAAATAGTGCAACTTGAAATACACTTTTTTTAAATGCTATCATTGATTTGTTTATATTTGCTTGTACATAAGGGAAAAACTCAACTTTCTTGCAAGTCACTGTGCCCTTAAAATAATTCCTAGTGTGAGCTGTTAAATTTACTGTTAGCTTCCTTAGTGTAGTATGTATCTTCATTTTTGAGTGACATGTGTTTCTTGTGCCAACAACAAAATGGTGACATTTGAAATACTGTTATTCAGAAGGTGAACCAGAAAGCTAAACACCATTCCCTCCCCCTGCAAAGTTTCATTCCATTCCATCCAACTCCATTTAACCACCTTGCCTCCTCCAAAGTTTTCCTTTGGGAGATTATCAGAAAAGGGCATTTTCCAGCTAGTGAACAACTAATTAAGTGCAAAATCTCAGGATCTATTTCTGAGTCACAGAGGACAATGCCAAATGATTGCCCTGGGCAGACTGTAAAAATCAGAGAGAAACTGTAGAAAGTGTAGAACACCTCAATCATTTCGAGTTTTATAGGTCAAATTTTGCACCCCCGCATTCTGGAAGGCAGCAGAAACTCTCTTGGGTAACTATGTCCCAGGGACCTGGTTACAGAAATCCACTGGATTTGCGTGCACGCGCGCACACATACACACACACACCAACCCAACTCAGTAACCCAAAATCATCATAAACACAGTCTCTAAGCAAGTTTTGGTTGTGACTAACCTAGAGCCACTGCTGTAATTCAATATATGTTTTGCATTTGTAAATATGCAGATAATAAACTTCTAAAGCTTATTGCTATCGACATTTTTTATTAAAAAATATGTGTATTTACTTATAAAAAAGTAAAGGTTTCCCTGTCAGTCGTGTCTGACTGTAGAGCATGGTGATCATCTCCTTTTCTTGCCCAAGAGAACTATCTTTGTCCAAAGACAATTTCCATGGTCATGTGGCCAGCATGGCTATACGCCAAAGTGCATGGAACGCTGTTATCTTCCCACCGAAGTGACCCCCTCCTCAGGAATTTCACCTCCTCGTGGCTGCTTCTAAAATGGCGCTTTTCTTGTTCATTAAGCAAACATGCCTTTAAAGCCTCAAAATTTAGTTCTTGCTCTTCTTTACACTCAAATATTGCAGAACTGTGTCCCAGGTTTTATCTAAACTGTTCAACACCAATAAAACCTTCTGGGACTCAGGGAATTTAATCCCATGTTGTTCTAAGTCCAAAAATAAACTTTGCATTTTATTTAAATGCTGTTCCACAGATTCACCTGGTTGAAAATAGGCCCTGTAAAGTTTTCTTGACAATTGCACTATATTGCATGCAGAAACATTCACATGCACAGCTCTCAACTTCAACCAAATCTCCTTTGCAGTCTTTAAATTTGCAACATTTAGAAATTGTTCATCTAAATTCAAGATGAGATAAGCCATTGCTCGATCATGACTCTTCTAATCAGCAGTAGCAAATACTTGTGATGGATTTTCTACAATATACCACAGCTCTTTAGCTTTCAGCAAACATTCCATTTTTGCAGCCCATATAATGTAATTCTTCTGGCCCAAACGAGGCACACAGCTTTCTTTAAATTCCATTGCAGCCATTCTGCTAATTCTGCCTTGTTCTTATACTTTCTAAACACAGGCAATTTCTTCCAGCTTTAAATTACAATGCAGTCCTTAGTAAGCTCTGGGCCCTTAACCTGTTAGAGAATTTTAATTTCTCTATTGGTGAAAAATAAATCAGAAGCTCTCAGAGTTGACTGCATTTAGCTGATTCAAAATAACTTCTTTATATTTATATCAAAATATTTACAATACCATATATTCTTATTTACAACAACATAGCTCAATTGAAGACTTCTTACAGATAGATACAGAGACAGACCTGAGACTGGAAATCCAGTTCCTAACTCAATACCTTTTGCACAGACTCAGTAGCACTTTCTTCACATTGGCTGACTGAGTTACCACATGACTCTTCCTGCTCATGAATATTCCAACAGTATATTTATAGCAATAGCACTTAGACTTATATACCGCTTCACAGTGCTTTACAGCCTTCTCTAAGCGGTTTACAGAGTCAGTGTATTGCCCCCAACAATCTGGGTCCTCATTTTACCGACCTCGGAAGAATGGAAGGCTGAGTCAACTTGAGCCAGTCAAGATCAAACTAGCCTGCAATACTGCATTCTAACCACTGCGCTTCCATGGCTCCTATATACTTATATACCACCTTTATTATTAAAATTTCAGCCAAAGAAAAAGCAGCAGTTGCATTACCAAAGTGATTTATAACTATAAAGCTGTCTACAGTCTCATCCCCAGATATCTAGATATCAGCATTTCTAGACAGGTCCAAAGGAAAGTTATAAGCAGGACAGGAGAACAAGCCTGACACTTGTGTTTTCTTATATTTCCCAATGCTTAGTATTGAGAGGCACAGTACTTCTGATACTAAAGGCAGCCGACACCACCTGGAGGTAGCTCAAGAGTCTTATTTTGAACCAGGGAATGTGGAATGGCACTTTAAAATGGGGAAAGATCTGCAGATACAAAATGCTCTAGTCCAGAGGTCCCCAACCTTTTGAGCACCAGGGATTGGTTCCGTGGAGAGAGGTTTTTCTGCAGACCGGAGGGGGCGTGGTTTCACATACTGCCTGCATCCTGCGGATGGGGCTTTGCTTGTTTGCGCGACCTGGTTTCTGGTATGCCACAGACCGGTACCGGTCCACAGACCGGGGATTGGGAACCCCTGCTCTAGTCTATGCAATCAAAGATAGCATGTCCTCCCAGGCATCCACTGTTAATTAAAACATCTGAATCCATTTGGAAATAATTGCTTTTGCCTGTGAAGCTAGGGTCTTGTTTCGACAGAGAAATCTATGTAAGCATCATATTTAATGATAGCTTTGCACTAGTGAAAATTCTGCAAAATGGACAAGTGATATTTGTCAACTCCATTTGCCCCCTGAAAAGCCAAGCTCATTTGCCCCCAGCTGAGTTTTTGCTTGTTTATTATAGTTATTAAACCAGTGGGCATGGGTGGGATACAGTCAGTTGAAACCAAAAAAGTAACCCAATTTTAAAGAGTCTTCACCCAGCTCTTTAGAAACCTGGCACATTCTAGCAGAAAAATAGGTCTAGAGAATCTGAAAATTCTGCTGAATCCCCTTGCATTGTACTGAACATAATGAA